CCTCTGACACACCCATCCCGATTACCTCAGTCACTGAATCAATCCACCTCATAGAGGGTCTTCCCCTCCTGTGCTGTCCCTCTACCCTACCAAGCATGATGTCCCTCTCCAAGGACCTGTCTCTCCTTACAACATGTCCAAAGTATGTCAGACGAAGCCCCAGAATCCTTGCCTCCAAGGAGTAGCCTGGTTTAACCCTCTCTAGGATGTATTTGTTTTCTTGGCAGTCCATGGTATATTCAATACTCTTCTCCAGCACCACAGCTCAAAGGCATCAATTCTCCTTCTATCCTCCCTAGTCATTGTCCAATTCTCTGATGCATAACAAGCATTTGCAAAGACCATGGCCTGTATCAGGCACACCTTAGTCTCCAGAGAGTCCTGAAGTACATCTGAATAATACCTATATTCCCTTTCTGAATGCACACCTCTGGGGGCCCTGCTTCACTTGCCTTAAAGCCAAGAGAAAGCTTTTCATACTTTTATTCCTTTCACACCTCCAGATTAAAGGAGCTGTTCTCTTTCTGGTTTCTATTGCCTATATCTCCTAAATGTACTAGATCAGATTTCTCCACCCTCCTGTAAAAATCAAGCAGGCAAAACATCATTTCACTGCTTTAAGGCTTGTGTAATTTGACCATATTGTCATCTCTTACTTTGTACTTTAAATGCTGCTATCATTATGGATGATTTCATAGTAACATGAATGACTATGCAATTTCCTGGTTTCTCAGTTTCTTGAACTCCCTTTATTACTAGACTTTTCCATCCACGCCTCCTCTGCTGTACCCTACCATGATCAAGCCTTATGTTTTCCCATCATTCATAATTGCCCTAATTTAAAAAAAAATTACTAATTGAACCACACAACTTCTGACCATAATCCTTTTTTTCTAACATGCTTGTCTAACTACATCCATTACAATCATTCTTTGAACTCAACAGATTAGCCAGTCATTTGATCCCTCTTCTCCACTTTAATCCATCACTTATCTCCTTTCTTCATTTCCTTCTATATCCAACTTAAAGTATATTAGGATAACATTTCTATTAAATGTCCTAAACTCCTTTGTCTTTCTATTCCTTTCATCCTCTCATAAAATTTCCATGTTGGTTCACAAATGAAGAAGGCCTGGTAGTGTAGGACATAATGTGTCAGTTGCTCTGCAGGAAAAAGACTGCAGTCTCCTCTCTTAAAGATTAATGGCCTCAGAAATCTGAAAGAGATCATTAAGTTGTCTTCTACTTTTCAGAGACAAGAAGAAACCATCAGAGGGAAATTCATGTTGATTTTTTCACACTGTAAGTTCAAAACAATTCATGTCTGTGTCTATCCTTAAATCTTTTCTCTTTTGTTATAGTTGAGGATAGGTATCTTCAATCAAAACTGAATTGATACATATGTGTGTATGTATGTACATATATCCCCTTTCCACATTCTCTCTACAGATTTCTCATCTCTCTCTTGCATTAATAACCTATTCTTCCTAGTGGAATCAGTCCATTGGCTTTAAAAGTTCTCAGACCACTCTCTGAAAAGTAGCAACACACCGTGTAATGATCTCACAACCTCTTTCTAGTTTATATTTCCTTACACCATTCTCCTATCTTTCCCTCCTGCTTCACAATTAACCTTTTTTTTTACATGAGAGAATTAAGATTTTATTTTTTAAAAAACCTTTTAAAATGTCATCTCCTACTGAATTTTTACTCACTCCTATTTAACTTCCACTGTCATTGTTCTGCTGGCCAGGCCTTATTGATCTGCAGTTCTTTATATAGGAAGGAAATTAGCTATTTGCTCATGATAAAACTATTAAACATTTTTCTCAATTATTTTTTGTTTTTATTTTGGAGAAGAGTATTAGGTATACCATGGACTACTAGAAGAACAAACATGTTCATTCTAGAGAGGGTGAGACCAGACTGCTCCCTGGAGACAAGGATTCTGAAGCTTTGTCTGACATACTTTGGACATGTTGCAAGGAGGGACCAGTCCTAGGAGAGGGAAGTCATGCTCAGGAGGATGGAAGGACAGCAAAGGAGAGGAAGACCTTCAATGAAATGGATTGATTCAGTACTGGGATAATGGGAGTAGGTGTGTCAGAGACAATAAGATTGTCACAGGATAGAGCAGGGTTTAGGGCTGTTGTACATAGGGTTGCTATGACTTGCAGGCATCTTGATGGACTACATGGTAATACTTTGTATTTTAAAAAATTATGGCTTTAAGTTTATTACCACTTTGTGGTATGACTTTAATTTGTACATACTTAGAAAGTATAATCTGAGATTAAAATAAACTATGGTATGGTGTTCTCTCTTACTTAATAGATATGAGGACATTTTATATATTATATTGTAATTTTGTTTTCTTTCCTTGAAAGGAGGAGTGGGGAAATAGTCAATGAGTATGCTCTGCTCTAGAGAATTCCTATTGGTTAAATGATGTTAAATTAGGCATCTACTATTTTCATGATTTTTATAATTTATGTCTTTATGTCTCTGAATAAACCTTTGTATAAATATTTCGATAAATTGCAAGCAAGACTGGTGGGGCAGTCCCTGGGCTCCCTGGGCTGGGGGCTTTCTGGGGCTCCTGTTCCTCCAGCTGTTGGCCCTGCCCAGTGCCAGGCTCTGTTCTGAGTTCTGTGACCAAAGCCAGGTGAGGCCCCTCTCCTCCCGACCCCTGTGGCCACATCTCTCTGGAGTGAGAGAGTTGGCTGCCCCTCACCTCAGAGCTTCTCCGAAGGCCAGTAACAGAACCCCAGCCCTTAGTCCCTACTCTGCTTTGGGATAGTGTGAGCTTCATTTTGTACACGTGTTGACTTTGTCCAGTTATAAACCCAATAAACTCTGTAGAGAGGAAAAAAAAATTTAGATAAATTAAGTAAAGAATTGAAATAGGTGCCAAAAGAAATGTGTAGCAAGTTATATACTTCCATAGTGGTATTGTACTCTTATCTGTACCTTATACACTTTATTTATAATCTCTAGATTAATATTAGAATATATAAGAATGAGTACATACTGCTGAGAATAAATACGAACCCTTGTAAATAAGGCCCCCATGTGGCAGTTTAATGACATACTATACAGACAAAATGATTTATAGTGAAATCTTGTTTAAGCTAGCAGCAATGTCAACTGACTTTCTCTAAAAGTAGCCTTTGAAAAGAGAACATTATTACCTAATTGTCTAAGATGGAGTTTTATTAAATCTTCAGTCACAACTTCACAGAACAGATAACATTAAACTTTACTTGAGGTTAGAAGGTCTGGTCTGTTTTAATAACAATAGCATCTCACTTCTCTGACATGACTGTTCATTTTGTATTCTTCATAAGTAGGAAAGAATCATAATCATTCTTTCTCCCCGTTCAGGAGGGGAGATTGAGTAAATTGTCTGCACAGTCAATAAATCTGAATTCATGCTCTTGATCTACCCAGAAGTGACAAATTTAGGTGTAGCTGCTAGGTGGAGAAGGGAATGTGGTTTTAGAGCAAAGCAAGAAATCTTTTGGAACAAGTGCACTTATCTAACTACAAATGCCCACATATGTGTGGGCAGGTGGGTGGGAGGTCTTGCTTTTATTATATTTATTTATGTGACATTACAAATTCTTTTAAATGGAAAATTTAATGTGAATATTTATTATAGTAAATTATTAAGATACATTTTTCTCCAGGGAACAAATTTTTATTCTTTGACTTTATTTAGTAGCTAAAAGAGATGAGTAAATAGACCTGATGATTTTAAAAAGAAATTTTTAAATTAAAAAAAATCTTATCATTTATTATTCAAACCTCGGTTTAAACACCATGCAACAAAGAAGAACAGTACCTCTTGTAGTGCTTTGCACAATAAAGAGGTACACTAAATTATACGTTCTCCAACATCCTTCTGTGACAGAATTTTTGAAGCCAGTAGTGGAAATTGTATGAGTTTTGGAACCACTAAAATTGACATTTCAATAGAATGATGCCATATACGACTTCAAATTAAAACCAACGAACACTCTTGGAACTGATTTCATGTACAGCATGGGCCCTACCCTACCTACCCTAGTGGAGGGTTGTCATTTAAGAGTCACTTACTTGATAAGCTGGGCATATTGAGAGAAAGGAAAAGGAATGTCAGGTTGCGTGAAGGCTGGAGAACGTGATTTGATACTCTCACCCTTAACACGTAAGACAGAGAGGCGATGCTGCAGCTATGGAAAGTGGGTGCCACGTTCTGAACATACTTGGTAAGTGCGACACTCTCGACTTCCTTCTGGGAGCAATCTGGCAAGGTCTAAGCCAAGTGGCCCTCAATTCACCTCCTCCCCCCAACTCAGTTGGAGTCGCTGCTGAGAATGGAGGAAAGCTGTACACTGGTGCCCACTCATTCTTTGGAGCGTGGTCAATGCCGGCTGCAGCCTCTGATTGAGATCGGGATCGGGAGGCAAGAAATTCCAACCACCAGACACCCCAGGAGAGAAATTCAAAGGGTCCTTTTCCCTTCTTTGGCTATTGTGTAGCTGGGATGGGCATAAAGACAAAAGGTACCCTCTTCCCAAAGGAGTGAGGCCATAAATCGCTTGTGGGAATTGAAGCTAGAGGCCAAATTTAGGATTATCCTGGAGATGCTGGATCTGCCGGTAAAGCTAGGGATCTCCGCTATTAAAGCTTGGCTACCAGCCTCGGGTCCCTAATCGGTCCCCTGCCCGGTAATCCGAGGCTTCAAATCCCAGAATACCCGCGCAAGGAGCGGTGAGATTCCCCCGCGCGCCGTCTGCGGCACGCGGAGGGCGAGCACGAGCCCGGCGTCTTGACAGCTGCCCACGCGCCCAAGTGCTGCGCGAGCGCGTTACTTTAAAGGCTTTGGCGGTAAGCCCCGCCCCTAGCGCGCCCCGATTGGCTCCAGGTGGGGCGGTGTTGGTTCCATAGGTGAAGAGAGGGTGGGGATGCGCGCGCGAGGCCGGGAGCCTCTCCGCAGCGACGGCCAAGCGCTAGAGGTTGGGCGTGCGGGACTGGCGGGCACGCGCGCGCGCCGACCGCGTAGGTCCTGTGGGCAGCAGGAGGGCGCCCGACGCCGACCCGCACGCGCGCTCAGGCGGAGGTGGTGCGTGTGTGTGAGTGTGTGTGTGTGTGTGTGAGTGTGCGCGCGCGCGCGTGTGTGGGGTGCTTGGATGCATAGCGCCAGCTGTCAGTGCCCGGGCGCTCGTCCCCCGCCGGCTCTCACACCCTCCCTCTCTCCTTCCGCGCTCCTTCCCTATCTCCCTCCCGCGGCTCCAGGTTAGTGCACGGAGCGAGAGCCCAGAGAAGCAGGGGTGGGGGGAGAAGGGGTCGCCCGAGACAAAAGGCGCGCGGGGGTCAGCCCGCCATGGCCTCCCGGAGCCTGGGGGGCCTGAGCGTGAGCCGCGGCGGCGGCAGCAAGAAGAGCCTGAGCGCCCGCAATGCTGCGGTGGAAAGGAGGAACCTGATCACTGTGTGCAGGTACGTGGCCCGCCACCGGGGCTTGGAGAGGGAAAGTGGCACCGCTGGCTGGGGACAGCGGGTGGACACGGTGGCACCCGAGTCCCAGGGATGAGGGGCCGGCGCCCCCTGAGTGTCTAGCGCCCCCAGAAATCTGGAAACTGTCGAGGCCCTAGACTTTCCCTCAGTTCCAAGGCTGCAAGCAGCCAAGGGTAGGGCTTGGGGCGGGGCTGGGGGAGGATTTGTTTTGAACGTGCAATCTGGTGTCAGAATAAAAGGAGGAAGAGCTTTTTCTCTTGGTGATCATTAAGAGATCAGCCAGCTTGTGGTGAAGTAGTCGTTAACTGTGATAGTTTACCTATATCAGAGGGCGGTTTGTTATTGTTTTGGCTTGTTTACAGATCTAGGCATTCATTTCATTCCACAAATATTGAGTGCCTACTACACTCTGTGTGTGTGTGTGTGTGTGTGTGTGTGTGTGTGTGTGTACATGCACACGCACGCTTGCGCTCCACTTTTAAACTCAGTGCTAGTGTGTTTCTGCAGTTGTTATTAGGAGTGGGACTATAAAGCATATCCTTAGGTTAATTTATTTCAATTCTTGCCTTTCTTTAAATATATTTTACTTATATATGAAGTATTTTCTTACCCTGCAAAGTCTAGAAAGACGAACATAGTTAATGTCCGTAATAGGCCAAGTGTTCAAAGATAATGGATTTTAGTATGCTAATAGATTTTATTGAAATTCCCCTCCCTGGTTATTAAAAAAAATTAAATTCTAGACATCACTCTCTGAGGAAATTCTCTGAACTGTTAGATTATTTTCAGATCACCTTGTTCCATCATGCCCATCATCATTAGCTAGCATTGTTCTCAGAATCAGAGGATGATGAAACCTCTGTCTTTTGCAATTTATATCTCTGTTTTGTTCTTTTTCTTGCATAAGCTGCTTAAATAGAATGCAGATATTTGTACTAAGACTTAAATAATTTACGGTGACTTTAAAAAAACGTGTACGATTACAAATGTTTACCAATGCAACCAAAAAACCTCTCATTAATTGTGAGGACCCTTTGAGTTGTAAACTACAATAACAAAATCTAGTTACTGTTTGGGTACTTCAGGATGCAATCTTTTAATGGAGCTAGGTTGTATTATTATTTTTTCAACTTTGTTAACTTAAACAATTAAAATAAATAGAAAATCAAGCAAGTCTAATTTTATTACCTCTATTTGAGAAAAATTAATGAAGATGGTTTTAGTCAAGTTTCAACATATACAGTGCTGCTTTGGGTAATCTATAAAGGCCCATCAGCTCTAAGGTTCATCAGTGTATTGCTCTCATTTTTTTTCTTGAGTTTTTCATTTTTTTAAATTACAACTTTCAATTATAGCATCTAATGTTATACACTGAATGATTAAATTCACTGATGAATAATACTCTTTATTTTGATTCTTTACTTTTGTCTTATCTAGTTTTGATTAGTTTACTATTCATTTGTGCCATAATCAGAGGGCATTCAAGAGAAGAGACTTCAACTTTCTTTAAATTGCAACATTATAAGTAAAGTTTAAGGAATTTCAGTCACATCACACTGATTTGCCTGGGAAGCTGGCTAGACTAGCTGTATTTTCATTTGCATAATTATTATTTTCTACTATGAAAACATAAGTGCTGACTTTTATTCTAGTGTACCCATAGGTTTTATATAGTGTTGTTAGATGCCAGAGAGTTGGTTCTGGCTCCTAGTGACCCCGTGATCAGCCAGGTAAAACTCTGTCCGATACTGTGCCATTTTTGCTAAAACCTGTTGTAGTCAGTGTGTCTGTCCATCCATCTTACTGAAGGTCTTTCTCTTTTTTTCTCTCCTTTTCCGAGCATGTTATCTTTTGGGCCCTTCCTGATAACATCGTCAAAGTATGTGAGATGGAATTTCATCATCCTTGCTGTTAAGCAATATTCTGACTGCATTTCTTCCAAGACAGATTTGTTTGTTCTTTTGCCAGTTCATGGCATATTCAATATTCTTTGACAACACCACATTTAAAAGACACCACTTAATATAGTTTTGATGGTTGTGTGCCATCGAGTCAGAACTGACCCATAGCTGACCTTCCAGCAGGTTTTCAGAGGCAGTTAATTGCACAGGAGGAGATTACGCAAATTTCTGGATTGGAAGTTGTCAACTTGTGTATTTATAGATGTGTTATATTACTAAAGAATCTCTCCATGTCTAAATGTTGATGATGAATACATCTTATCCATATCTAGTGATGGGGTTTGCTTCAGAGTAACTATAGGCTATTTGTACGTTTTTGGTATGAACATGCCTCAGATTCAGCAAAATGGGCAAATCAAATATTTATTTCTGTTGCTTGTCTCTACTTTTCAGAGTTACTGAACCCAGGGTATCTCCTACTTATCTCACTGTCTCTCTCTCTTTTGTGTTGAAAATAGACACAGCAAAGCATACACCAAATCAACACTTCCTACAGTGACATTGGTAATATTGGTCAAGTTGTACAATCACTGCCAAAATAGTCTAGCACTGTTAATATAAGTTCACTATGTTATTGTTGTTATGTGCCATTGAGTCATTTGCTACTCATAGCGACCCAATGTATAACAGCCCTAAGCCCTGCTCTATCCTGTGCCAATCTCACCATCTCCACCGATTACCCCAGTTACTGAATCAATCCACCTCATAGAGCGTCTTCCCCTCCTGGGCTGCCCCTCCATCTTCCCAAGCATAATGTACCTCTCCAAGGACTGGGCCCCTCCTTGCAACTTGTCCAAAGTATGTCAGACGAAGCCTCAGAGTCCTTGCTCCAAAGAACAGCCCGTTTAACCCTCTCCAGCATGAACCTGTTTTTTTTCTTAGCAGTCCATGGCATACTCAATACTCTTCTCCAGCACCACAGCTCAAGGGCATCAATTCTCCTCTGTCCTCCCTAGCCATTGTCCAACTCTCTGATGCATAACAAGTGATTGAAAAGACCATGGCCTGTATCAGGCGCACCTTAGTCTCCAGAGTAACACCCACCATTGCTCTTCAGTACTTTGGAGAGGTCCCTAACTGCAGATTTTCCCATCGTGATACATCTTTTAATTTCCTGGCTGCTGGTGCCACGAGTGTTGACTGTTGTTCCCTCTGACCCCACTTTTCCCATTTCCTGGTAACCACTAGTTATTTTTCATGTCTGTATATTTGTATGTGATATAATTGAGATTATACGGTGTATTTTTCCTTTTGCGACTAACTGAATTTATTCAGCATGATGTTTTCATGGTTCATCCACGCATCAGAACTTAATTTCTCTCCTTTTATCTCTTAATAGATTATTTTTCATTGTTGTATGCCAAATAAGAGATCTTTAAGTTGAGCAGAACATGATTTAATGGAAATAAAATGGAGTTCTAAATTGGCCTTTTCACTAATTAGTTGTGTGGCATTGAATAAGTCTTAGTCTTCTCATTTTTCAGTTTTCTTACCCTAAATATGTTGGATGAGGTCATTGGTAACCTTCAGGGACAGCTCTGAAGTTAGTAATTGCCCTCTAGTAAAATTTGTTCATGTTTGGTTTTAATTTCTCCAAATCGTAGTGGAGTTTAATAGTAGCTACTTGGAACATGTATGTGTTTGTGAAACACTTCATGAACTGTGTGTTTCATCTTGTGATTCTTCGTTAATGCTGTAGAAATTTACAAAACAAAACAAAACAAAATCAAAGAAACAACAGAAAAGTCACCCCCACAAGATATTTTAGTGTAACTTTAATGCTTTCCTTAAACAGTCTCTGTAAATTCTCATTTGAATTTTACAGCCTTATTATGCGAGTCACCATTCTTTAGGTTTAAAACCTTATGTAAGTAGAATACTTAGGGATTTGAACTTTTGAGAGAGATTAAGTAGGCAAGCCAGGAAATAAGCTTAATTGAAGTTTGATTTAATGAAATTGTATATGTGTATATAATTATCTTATCAAGGGTTTTTAAAATTAACATTTCCGTATGATAGAATAATAACATTTCTGTGGCACTTGTCTTAGCAAATAAGTGCTCTTGTACCATGTATTGTACAAACAACAATAAATAGGAAGTAGGAAGATGCCATATGAGTACATCTCCATTCACCCTTAGAATATTAATACCAACTAATATTTTCCCCTGGTATTTCACAGTCTGGAAAAAGAAGATTGCTAAATGCCTTCAGGCTTTTTTAACTTGCATTTTTCACTCATAGAAAATCAGATATTAGTTACTGTTCTAGCCATTTTGAGCTTCATAGTTTTGTAATATGCTTACATGTTACTCTGATTAACAAGAGAGATCTAAGGAGATGTATGAGCTAAGCAGGAAAGATGACAAGGATGCTTTCCAAACAAAATTGTTTTTACTAACATAGACATAGTTTTGGGGAGATCAGGATATTATTGCAAAACAGTGTTGGCTGGACTGGTCATATGGATTTAGTAGGTGTTTAAAAAAAAACCCCAAAACTGTGTAGCCATGATACAAAACCCAGGACACCCACCCACCCAAAGAGCCAAAGAATAGTTCCTGTGTAGTTTCTCTTGGAACTCGACCACCAAGTGTGGGGACTTTGCCCCAACAAAATTGTAAGCACTGTTGGGTTTTGTGTAAGACTCTTGCTGTAGCGTGGGTAGCTATGATCAGGGAGTCTCAACTACTGGTGGCTACTAGTTACTCTGAGATTGTAACAGCATTTTACTTTCTGTACAACAAAGGAGCTTTGTAAATAAAATCTTAACTTTTTTTGGGGGGAGAAATCTGTCAGTGTTATTTCAAATTTCAGTAACTGTTTCTGGGAGATGATTCTGATTCAGAGTGACTTAGGATGGAAGAAAACTGCCTATAGTGTTTCCAAGGCTGATTTTTAATGGAAGCTGACTGTATTATATTTCTCCTGTGATGTGGCTGGAGATTTTAACAACTGACCTTTCAGTTAGCAGCCAAGAGCTCTTGTGGCCTATTGGCAAGAAGCTGCGCTGAAATCCCA